CCATGATCACGGCAGATGGGGACAGCAGCCATGAAATTAAAAGACACCTGCTTCTTGGGAGGAAAGTGATGACAAACCTAGACGGCATCTTAAAAAGCAGAGACATCACCTTGCCGACAAAGGTCCACATAGTCAAAGCTATGGTTTTTCCAGTAGTGATGTATGGAAGGGAGAGCTGGACCATAAAGAAGGCTGACCACTGAAGAATTTATGCTTTTGAATTGTGGTGTTGGAAGAGACCCTTAAGAGTCCCCTGAACTGCAAAGAGAACAGTTCTGAAGGAAATAAACCCTGAGGGCTCATTGGAAGGACAGATCCTGAAGCTGAGGTTCCAATATTTTGGCCATCTCATGAGAAGAAAAGACTCCCTGGAAAAGACCCTGATGTGGGGAAAGTGTGACGGCAAGAGGAGAAGGGGACGACAGAGGACGAGATGGTGGGACAATGTCATCAAAGCTACCAACATGAATTTGACCAAACTCCAGGAGGCAGTGGAAGACAGGAGGGTCTGGCATGCTCTGGTCCATGGGATCACAAAGAGTCGGACACAATTTAATGACTAAACAACAACAATAAAATCTATTTAGAATGCGACTATCAGTCTTCCCTTACATCCTACAAGTGTAGCAGCAGTCTTATGTCTGGCAAACCATCAGAGGACTCTGTCAGCTGCCAGTGGTGGAACAGTTCTCTAATCAAATATGTAGTTCTCATGAACAGCTCACAATCTCACACTGCTGCCAACTTGTCTTCTTTAAAAAGCTACAAACAATAGCTGTTGTAATGCATTATTCCTTACAGCCCCATCTACATTTCTTATACACTTGGAAAGGCTCATCACTCTTTTCCAATGTGACTTTGGTTTGACAGCTCATATTGCAAATGATTACTCTGTCTACAGCTTATAAATATCTTCATCAACAACTGTATGCAGGAACACAAATTGTCTCCATATTTGAAAAGACCATGTACAGTACTCTGTTAAACTATAACAGGGCAAGTCAGATGCTGTCAGCAAGTATGAAATGGTGTAATGCGAACTGCTAAGCCAGAAAAAATGTATCAGGTAAAATAAAAGAAGGAAAGAGCACCTGAAAAAAGGAATGATATGTAATTCTTAGTCTCCAGAATCTATGTCAATCCAGCAGAATTCATCTGGTGCAAAATCTACAGAACACAGCACTTCAGGGACACAAACTGGAAGATGGCAAGGCAGACCAGCACACTGAAAACAAGTCAAATGCAGTTTCAAGTCAAAACCTAGCAAAATTGTTACTTTACTTCAATTTAAGTACTACATCTATACTATACATGCATTCTAGAAACAAATAATAATTTAATACACTCTTGGTATTTTGTTTCTCCTTTTTATACATTTGTATCCGACATTCACAGTCAATGGATTAAACTGTGAACCTATGCCAGACCTGGGCAAAGTGCAGCCCGCGGGCCAAGGCACTCCTGTCTGGCCCGCTGATCGTTGCTCCAGTCCGTAGCTTCCTCAAAACCAGTCCCTGCATGCTTCCCCTTGCAAGCCATGAAGCGAGGACCCTCCCTTTTGCAGCCACTGCCTCCTCTTCCCGGAGATGTCCGCTTCCGCCCCCCCTTGGCAGTCTCCCCGGGATGCTCGCGCACCTTCCTCCCTCTTCTCCATGCCGGGGCACCCCCACTGGCAAAGGGGCACCACCCACACCCCAACAGGTGCACCTCTTGCCTCAACCAAGGTGGCAGGTGGCGGCGAGGGGAGTCTGCTCGCTTCCCCTCAGTGGAACCACGCCCTTGCCTGCCCGCCGGCTCTCCCCTTCCTGTGGCCCTCCATGGCTGTTTGGGTCCCCAGAGCCCAGGTCCTCGGTTCACATGGGCCCCCAGAAGGGTGACACCCCCGCACCCCCTGCCACCAGAGAACCAGGGCGCTGTTGTGGTGCTCAGCCCCGAGAACCACCTGTGGACTAGCTGCAAGACAGGTTTTGCTGGCCATACTGGGAGTAAGTGTCGCCATCGTTGACGCTCTTGCGCTCCTCTCCATGCCCGGGAAGTAACAGGAAAGAAGAGAAAGCGGAGAAGTTGGCGGGAAAAAGAATGGAAAAGGCGAGAAAGTTGGGGCAGCGCATGCCGACGGCTGGCGGTGGGCACCAGTGTGCCCGGGTCGCTGTGGCAACAGCCCCGGGGCGTGGGTGCAAGTAAGTGGGATCTTCTTTCTGTCTTTTTCTGGCTCGCTCTCTCTGCCCGCTCTTTCTGCCACCTCCTTTTTTTTCTTGCCTGCTCCGACCCCAACACCACATCGCCTCCAGTCGAGACCCTTAGCTCCCACCTGCCCCGTTGGGTTTGGGGACATCCACACCCTCTCTTTCTCTGGCTCGCTCTCTCTGCCTGCTATTTCTGTCACCTCCTTTTTTTCTTGCCTGCTCCAACCCCAACACCACATCGCCTCTAGTCGAGACCCTTAGCTCCCACCTGCCCCGTTGGGTTTGGGGACATCCACACCGAGCCAAGGAAGCTGCCCTTCTTTGCCGGCGTCCCAGCAACCCCAGGTCTCGCAAATGTTACCCTTACTGCCCCCACCCCCCGCAAATGTCGCCCACTGATTGCGGGACCAGCTCCTTGCTCTGCCTCCAACCCAGCACCGCTTGAATTGTGGCAGGGCGGTCCAAGCCACGGAGTCATTCGTTTCAAAAGACATGTTGCCGGTCCTTAAACTTTTCCGAAAATGTGTTTCCTTTTCTCTCTTTTCTGTCTTTTCTCCTCCAGCCCCTGCCTCCAACCCAGCACCGCTTGAATTGCGGCAGGGCGGTCCAAGCCACGGAGTCATTTGTTTCAAAAGACATTTTGCCGGTCCTTAAACTTTTCCGAAAATGTGTTTCCTTTTCTCTCTTTTCTGTCTTTTCTCCTCCAGCCCTGCTGAAGTGGGAGCCTTCCAGCGAGGTGGAGCAGGGCTCTTCTTCGACTCATCCTTTCTTCCTCGGTGGTTGTACACACAGGGGAAGCGACAGCACCAGAAGAGGAAAAGGCAGGGCATGGTGCCTTTCATCTCTTTCACACACACACCCCACAAAATAAAATAAAAACAATCATAACATACCTGTTTCATTTTATTTTTAAGTAAAGTTGGTTTGGCCCCCCAACACAGTTCAGATTTTTCATGTGGCCCCCCTATAGAAGTTAATTGCCCACCCCTGACCTATGCAATGTTCCTCAGGAGTAAGTTCAACTGGGCTTCTGTTTAAATAGAATTAGCCAATTTTCTTCACTCAGACAGAATTCGTTTCTATGACTATGACCCTATGGACATTTATACTCTTCTATTTGGAGTACATTCCACTGAAATCATCAACATTTATGTATTTGTATTTTATTTCAAATGTCCATATCTATCAATAAAATATGGACAGAGCAGATCTGTAATCCTGCAATCATATACACTTGTTTAAATCTCACAGAACTTAGTTCTGAGCAAATATGCATAGGATTATGCCATTTGCACTGGAAATATATATAAGAAAAGCATAGGACTGATCCCCCTATACTCATCAGGATTATATTATTCTTATAATATACATCATGTCAAACATATAAATTATACTTCTCCATATAAATTATATTTAATTGAAAGCAAAAGTGTGCTGCTTATATACCACCCCATAGCACTTAAAGCATTCTCTGGGAGGTTTACAAGTTAATTAGGCAGGCTAGACATTGTCCTTCCCATCAGCAAGCTGGGTACTCAATTTACTAGCCTTGGAAGGATGGAAGGTTGAGTGAACCTCGAGCCATCTATCTGGGATTGAACCCAGGTCATGAGCAGAGTTTTGGTTGCAGTACAGCAGTTTAACCACTGTACCATGAGGCTACATGAGCAAAGACTTTCTGCACAGTGTTAGAGCTGCTATCACCATTCAGCTTATATAAAAGCATTGGCCTTCAAAGACAGTGCATAGCTGCCTAGGGCAATGCTAGCAACCAGTACTTATCTAGCAGTAATGTGGCAAACCCCTTCTGAAGAAATTTGCAGTCCAGCCACTCACAGTGAACAGAAATGAACAAAAATGTCATCCTGTAACATTTACAATAACCGTGCAGCATAAGCGTGTACGGAATGTTCATTATAAGACATATTCAATCATGTCTTGAGTTTCGCACTAAATCTAATTGCCTGTGACTGGACTGAGCTTTACACCATGTACCACACAATCAGCACTTGTAATCATGGAACAGGAGCTGAAGCCAAACTATCTCAGAAAGAAAGGCCTAAATCCAGAGGTTAGTGGACTTCAGCTGACCTATAAAATTGAAGGGAATTTGATAGGCCAACACTGAGGTGAATTCCAATGGGTCTACCCCCGGTTGGACTAACAACTGGATTCCAGTGAACAATTCTGTGACAGGCTTTCTGTTGTAACCTTTTGTGCTACATCTCTCAGAAACCATGTAGGCAGTAACAGTCCAAAAAAGTAAGTACCAATATATTGGGTAGGAGAGATGGAGTGTAATTTAGGCCAAAATAATTATGCAAAGCCCTAAGTAGTTTTTTTGGGGACTCATAAAGAAGAAAATGGAGACTACAGTGTATCATGGGATTGTTATTAAACGAATGATTTCCACTTTACTTGGTAGGAAGTTCACCTCCCAGCACTGCATTAGAATCTTCAGAGATGTTCTTCAGGCTTCCTATCACCTCACTGAATGACAAATTTAAAAAAGATAAAAAGGAAGATGCCTAATGAGTCTGAAGTGATGGGACACTTTCATCCCATTAGTGTATGCAAGAAGCAGGGTAGAATAAAGTGTTACAGACAATCTCTGCTTTACAGATTGGACAAAATAAAATAACAAAGTTCTGAGATTTTTCTTTACAGACCCTAAATCCCACAGAACCAGCAGTAAAAGGTAGCCAGCGAAAATAATATTTCAGAACAAAATAATATGACAAAATAATAAACTCTACTTATACAATCCAGTTAAATCAATTCACAGGCTACTGATAAAAAACAAGAACTCACTACCTTTGCAGGTAAAACACTTGATGTGAAAATGCCTGGCTTGGACACGAAGCACTTCTCCTTTACACGGCTCGCCGCATTTATGGCAGTGGATGACAGGCTTCTCTGTGGGATGGTGAGGCTCCTGAGGATGGGCCACTGTAACAACAAAAAGAAATCAGATGTACAAGATTTCCTTTCAGATTATTTCAATATCTCACAACGAGAAAAGAAACCAACCAAATGTCTCATGATGGCAGCCAGAAAGTAGTGGGATCACTGTAGAGGAAGTTGCCTCAACCATAAAACCATATGAACCTTGTACTTATCTTCAAATTATAAAAAGTCATGTCTAACTTTGCATCTATCTATATAGAAATTAGATGATGGTGATGATGATGATGATTCAAAAACACCAGGCACAGTAAAAATTATAAAAAACATTGACTGGTATTATATAACAGATACAAGTTTTAACCAAAATCCTGAGTATCTGTTAAATGTATCCGCGAAGGCTTTCACGGCCAGGATCTAATGGTTGTTGTGGGTTTTTCTGACTCTTTGGCCGTGTTCTTCCTAGTCCTCTGAAGATGCCGGCCACAGAGACTGGCGAAACGTTAGGAAGAACAACCTTCAGAACACGGCCAAAGAGCCCGAAAAACGCACAACAACTATCTGTTAAATATCGGCACCATATGCATGCTGTTCCTAATATTGCTGGGGGGGTTTTTGTAGCTCTAAAAGTATGGTTTCTGAGATCTGCAACTGCTTATAATACTGTGTAAAGTTTTTAGATATTGCTCCCAAAGACCTAATGACTATGGGGACCACTGAAGTGTGTTTCTTCCACAGGTGAGATGTTTCAATTGCCAGGTCTCTGTATTTTGTTAGTTTCTCCAGTTTTTGATTTTTCCAATTCTTGATTTTCAGCTCTGACATCTCCTGGAATTGCAATGTCAATGATCCAGACATTTCTTAATTCTGTTACAACTATGTCTGGTGTTTTATGTTGCAAGTGTCTGTCAGTTTAGATTCAGAAATCCCACAAGATCTTGACTTTCTCATTTTCTGACACTTTCTCTTCCTGATGTTCCCAGGTTTTTGGAGACTCGGATGTTATACTTTTTGCATAATGACCAGTGCACTAATTTTGCTACTCTGTCATGTCTAATTTTGTTCCCGGCCGTGAAAGCCTTCGCGAATACATCCAAATATCATTATAGGCTTTCTACAGCCTAGTGCCTCCTCTCTCTCATGTTCTGCTTCCACAGACGTCAAGCCAACCTACACTTTCCAAGAAAAATAGTATCTGACAAAGCACTCCTGAGGCAGTTCTGCTTCAACGTGCAGGGAGGTGATCTGCAGAAATGCTGGCTTCATTGAGTATTTGTGGCACATGCACTTTATGCAAAACATGGAAGCATGGGACCATGTCCAACCCAAAGAAACTTGCAAACTGAATTTGTTGAATAACAATTCATTTATAAATACATCTAACATTCACTGCTCCTCTTTACTAGCATTAATCCCTCAGAGTTTATTGGTTAATCCAGTTTGCACACTAAAGTTTAAAGCCTGAAGATGGAATTCTGTTTTCTCCATCCCTCACTGTGGCTGCCCGTGTCACTGCCTGAAATCTGCCTCTGGAGGGTTTCCCTTCCATTTTCACTGTTGAAAGTGTCTGCCACTGGATTTAGACCTCTGTGTTAACTACATTAGGATCAGAGATAATATATATTTTTTGAGACTCTTCCTTTTTCACCTGGCTAGAGATTGCAAAGATCTTCCATCTTCTGAACTTCTCAATTCAGCTATCCTACCTGGGGCACCCATATAAATTCATTAGTACATCCGCCCTGGCTGGTCTTCACTTGAGACATCCTTTAAATGTTATGAGACAAGCTTCCTCTGTTCGTTAGGTTGCAAACTTTATTAAAGGAGATGTACTGATATGGTAAAATGATTATAACCGTCACTCTTTGAAAATAATGTCAGCCTACCTCTATCATATCAATAAACTGTTCTGCTTTCAGCAAAATATTTCCTATGTTTTCTCTGCTCCTCTTTATTTTCTTTCTTTCTTTCTCTTTCTTTCTTTCTCTCTCTCTCTCTCTCTCTCTCTCTGTCTCCTCAAGAGGACCCAAGGTAATTTATAATACTGAAATGAACAGAATAAAAAACAGGAAGGAGGAACGCTGGCAGCACTCCTCTTGGACAGCCAGTTACTTGGAAAATAGCTATTTGACCTATTGAATAGTACAGCACATTCTAATTTTATATATTGTATGGAAGCATAATGACTAGGAAGGGAAAATGTTTGTTCATTCCTTTAATTTCTTACAGGTTTCTGATTTTTTTTTCTATTTACAGTGTCACGTTACTTCATTTATATGAGAACAGAGAAGACTGAAGAGAATGCCTCCTAATATTTTAATTCACAATTATTTTAAAATAAAACCTCAATCTTTGGTGCACCCTCCAGAATCTTTAAGTAATGAGGTTCCATGTATGGAAGATAAGAGTTGGGCTGTTAGTTTCCCCAAAAGAGAATACGTACTGCATTGACTGGTAAGTGAGGTAATGCTGCATTAATGAAAGGAAGTGTATGGATGAATAATGCAGACTACCCTAGATATTAGCTGTTCACGTATAAACGGTTGCAAGCAACATTATCCCCTTGGACCCCATTCACAGAAAAATGCAGCTATTATGAGGAAGGCTGCTGAGCCCACTAGACTGTTGTTTTTATGTGCTAAGGCGTTTCTGACTTATGGGAACCCTAACAGCATTTTTAAAGGATGTGAGCTGTCCAAGCAACTGTTCCCCACTGCCATCTCCTCAGTGAGTTTCCATGGCCAAGCTGGGATTTCAGCTACGTCTCCTGCATCCTAGTCAAACCCTCTATCAATGGCATCATATTGGCTCCCAGTTTGTTAACAGGAGATCCTAAATTGTTTCAAACTATTGTTTGTGATGGAGATGTACTGTAAGAGGCATTCCGTCTACACCCAAAGTACTAACACACTTCATGGCAATCCAGAAATTACACAGACATCTCTGAAATCTTTAACTTATTATAGTATACTTTGCTACTAGTTTTGTATTATGAATTTATTTATTTACTTCATTTATATCCCACCTTTATCCTACTGAAGGGATTAAAGGCAGAGTACAACAGCTAAAAATACATATTTTAAAAATACAGTAAATTAAGATATTAATCTTAAAATACAATTAAATCTAAACTATGTTAAAACATCACTAGTTGAAACGTATTCAAATAAATTTAAAACACAGAATAAAAAATATGCTGTATTTCTCTACTAAAACCTCCAATCCAGCATATACCACTTCCAGCTTGTAAGGCAATTCTCAATCTTTGTTCAAGGCAACCCAATTAGCAGAAGAGCAATTAAAGTCCTTGAGACAGGTCCATTTCTTTATCCACAATTTAAATCTAGTACCACAAAACTAGAGATGAATTTAAAAATAGACAGACAGAGGAATGTTCCTTGCAAACTCACTTTGATCTACCTTTCCTCCTCTGTCCCTTTATCTGTTATCATACACTGCTGTGAAGAATCTTAGCAAAATGGCCAACTCAATTGTGGGCCACAACCCTCTGGTAGAAAATGAATCCTGTACATTGCACAGCTGTGGATCTTTGCCATTTTTCCACAACTTCTTATGGCTTTTCAGTCTTCAAAGGAACAAGGGAGGTGCTACAAGAGCCTATCAGCAGTTTGTCAGGCTGTATTGACAAATTCGCAATATACCAAACTGGATTAATGGGAGACTAGAGAAACATTTTGTACATTTTGCCAGCCAGATTGTTGTTGGTGTAATTTGAACTGTTTTAAATACACATTATTACAAAGAGCCATCTCTTTGCATCAACCTTGGTGACAGAGACTAATTACTCATTGATGACACAGTGTTCCATACAAATGAAATTTTAGAAATTTTGACAAGCCTATAAGTGGAGACAGACACACTGTTTAAGCAGCTGAAAACTGTTATAGCAAAAACATTACTGCCCATGGTGCACATACATTTATCTATTTGCCCCACTATAACCTTTGGCCAAACAGGTTTTGCGGGATTTCATCCACAATGATTGCACTGGTTTTCCTGGCATACATGTATCGTAGACCATAGTTTCTCTAATCCTTAATGAACACTCTGTATTGTTGTCCTACACATTTGGAGAGTGCCAGTCTGACAAATTCTAGACTGTGCGCTTTCATCATCCTGATACAGTATTTGACAGTAAAATAAGTTCATTAGGACTCAAACCTCTTTCCCCTGTACTCCATAACATCTCTCAAGCTCCTCCTTATGCCCTTTCCACACGTCAGAAAACAGATTCCTCACTGCCACAGAGAAACTATGTTCCTGCACTGATTGAAATAAAGACTCCATGCACAAAACCCCTTGCTTTAAAAAAATTAGAACATTATTATTATGGTTCCACATAAGCCATTTCCCTATCAAAGTATCTGATGAGGACAACTACAGAGGCAGCTGCAGTCACTATAGCCCAATAAATAACTTTACTTATGCAGCAGCTTTCAGCTCTTTTACAAAGAAGCCAATATATGAAAACCTTTATCCCACTGGAAATATATATTACATGACAAATATATCTGATGCCAGAAGTGACCTTGCATTCAGCAGAAAACAGAGGCAGAAAGAAATGGAAGGTGAATCATGATTCTCCAGAAGTCTTTTGATCTTTTCATTATAGTCTCCATTTAAAATCTAGATCTTCTCACCAGGACCCCAAAGGCAACCTTCAACAAATTTTACTCCAGGCAAGAATCGTTGGCTGAACCTGGTTACAAGCTTGAGGATCATCACCTAAGATAATATTTAGAGGTAGTCTTCTAAAAAGGATCTGGAGAGCCATGATTTACCTAATAATATTCTATTTTTGCTGGTAAGGTTATTTGTATAAAGAGAAAAGCAAGCTTTGAATGTTTCATTTCAAAGAAATCAAAACCTATGAGCACAGTAAATTAAAGATCTTCCTTAAGAGTCAGAACAACTTCACAATACAGTACAAGACAATTTGTTTCTACTGCTGCTGTTTGTGGAATGATGTCATATAGTAATTGTCATGTACAATTGCATTCTAACAGCCCAAATCCTGTTGCTTA